CAGAGTCCCTCCTTCGTCGGTGCTCTTGTAGTTGCGCTCCAAATGCCGGCTGCGAACGTCGCGGGTTACACCAAGCGTGTGACCTCAACAGCCTTCGTCTTTCTAGCGTATTGCGTGGGAAATATCATAGGCCCGCAAGCTTTCCTCGCTTCGGAAGCGCCCATCTACGGCACTGGCTGTAAAGTTATCATGGGTTGCACTGCCGGTCAAGTCGTGTTGGCTATCGCCATTCGACTGTTGTTAATTAAGAGGAACAAACAGAGAGACGCGGAGGCGGAGGCCAGTGGACAAAATGCGGAGGATGTATCTGATGAGGTTCTCATGGACTTGACGGACTTTGAGAACAGGAAGTTCAGGTATTCCTATTAGTATAAGACCCTCCGCGTCTATGAGATCAGATGTTAGTAGTAATCGTGAAGTCTAATAAAACGGCCTGGCCCTCCATATCTCCAACGCCAGTCTTCCCTACTCGTTTGACAGAGTTGAGCCGAGGCAATTAATGAGAGGCTCAACAACAAAGCTTCCAACACGATTACTATACCCACTCCATGCCACACGTTATACACACTAGTACTTCTTCATCGCGGAATCGTGAGTCAACATGCTGGTGCTGGTGCGGTACTAATAGTACTCGAAACTCCGCTCATCGGACGGAACTATTGCCCATCAGCTTCCACTCTGGAAAAGAAAACCGAAAAGAGTTGAGAGACGTGAGCTCTTTTCCACTCCTAATACCTTGGGCAGAAAACCTTTTATGTCATGATGCCAAGCCATCGAGTCTGTTTCACTTGATCCCTCGAAGCCCGAAGGCGTACTGGTCGGATGAGGCTATGCGCTGCCTTTCTTACGCACGGTTGGCAAGAGTGATCATAAGTAGACTAGTTCGCTCTTCGTCCCAAAAACGTTGATCGATTGCCCAGCTTTGGGATGAATGACGAGGGAGTCAGCCCTACTTGTGATCGTAATCCTGGCAATCCGGGGTGCGATTTTATGTCGGCGCCCATCATACTGGTATCTATTGCACAGCCGATGTTCGCACTTCTCTTTACTAGGGCGAAGAGTCATGTCTTTCGTCACGAAGGCTACCAGGCACGAACTTGCCAAGATGTTGTGTTAATTGACGGCTCGGCGGCACCAAGCCCTAGCAACAAATAGACTGTTGGGCTGTCTTTCAACTAGGATTGGCACTTTTAGGTTTTGTTCTCTTCCTTAAGACATCTAGAGCTGCAATGCAACCCTCCGAAACTCCGACGGGGTGGATCAACAGCTCCGTGTAATGGTTGCGCCCGGTTTTCTTTGGCGAAAACGAGTCGGCACCCGGCACCGTAGCCTTTGACTACCTACTGAGAAAGCCTATGATGGCAGTTGACAACTTTGTTCGTTGCCAATTTCAGCATGGTTGCCAACCAGACGTTCTGGGCACCTTATCCGTAGATTGAAGTTTGTTAAAACAGTGGCTTGGCCCACACCACCACTAAGGACTCACGCACTAGACTTCTCCGTTCATGCCGCAGCTGCGCGTCACGTCGTAGCCGCGCGCAGCCGTCAAACTCTACACCATCGCCCAAATCAGCTCATCCCTGTTGCGTAGAAGAACCGGGCTCTGTGAGATTGACAGCCTTACGGAGATTCATGTTTGGTCTCCAGTGAGATTCAGAATTCCCGGGTTCCCAGGCGGTATATTCTGCGACGCTGTTGGACATATCGCGAACGCCAGGAACATGCCTATACACAAAGTCCGTGAGGCGTGCGGGTAGGAGGGACGATCCAGTCTTGCATGAGAAACTTGTCATCCCCCGAAGGATTCGAAGTGGTACTCTCCTTAACGGTAGCCTTGAGCTTGTTTGCACAGAACGGATGAACTGATTGACATAGACGGGATGAAGTTGTCTTCGCGACATTGTGGACCACAACATGCCATCACTGAGGCTGGTTCTAGACTGTCTGGGGCGAAGTACTCAAAACTTTCAATATGCCTTATCTAAGCGATCGAATGCTTATAGGTTGTGACCGGGGGCTTATAGCTCGTGTCATCGTGTCTAATCCAAGGGTGGCAATATGTGGGCGTTTCATGTGGTCCCGTGTCTGCACGTGTGGCCCGCTGCTTGGCTAGGTACTATTGATAGCAATGTGGTCTTCTAAGAGCTGCTTGGCAAAGAGGCGCTATGCGTAGTGAGTAAATTGCGAGCTGGTCTTGATTCTGCATCATAATTAATTAGATCTTTTCTGACAGACGATGGCTTCGAGAATGCGCCGGTCTTACCGGCTGTAGCAGTCCATAAATGTGCAGCATGTTTTCCGCTTCTACCGACGCATGTTGAATCTGCGCCAGGCCGACCAGCTCCTCCGTCACTCATTATTTGTTCTGTCCACTCATTACAACATGTCATTCAACTTACGTTCATTACTGCTTTCTGGCTCTTTGCTAGCGTCGTTACCAGTGGTTACATCACATGCATCGCATCAAAGCATTAGCAAGCGCGATCTTTTCGATGGTGAAGCCGTCATCATTAAGGGGCAATGGTCATGTAGCCCTCAGCAAATCTTAGATATAGATCAGGGCGTTGTCGAGGCACATGAACTCGCAAATGCAGCTCTTACTGCTCTTGGAAAGTCCAATGTCGCGAGGACCCCAGCGTACTTCTCGTGGTTCGGACCTGGTAAGCCAACACACCTGTCGTCTCTTTCAAGATTTCAAAGCGCTTACTTCGCCCTTACTGCATAGAAAGTGGAGGTCCTTCAGCTTCCAACCTCATTGAAAAGCACTACCGTCCTGTAATTGACTCCCTCAAGCCCCCGAGTGTCGAAACAGCTTTCCGATTTTCCCCTGAGCCTTTGTTTCCCCCCAATACTGTGACAGACAAGAGTCTTGTCTTCGGCTGTTCCGGAAACAATGGACCCTGTGCAGACGGTCAAATGGTTGCGGGTGTACAGAGTGCGACAGATACCGAGGCCGCAGTCTTTGGGACCACTTTACTACTTCTATGCGAGACCTTCTTCGATAAGACCCGGCCTACCAACCAGGGAATGGTGAAGCAATGGCAGGCTGAAAGTGCCATTGGCGACATGTCGAAGGGCTTCGTCTTGGTCCATGAGACCCAGCATATGCTCATTGCCACGGGTGCGGGAGAGCGTGCGGATGATCTCAAGAACCCGTTCTTCGGATTCCTTGATGATAGGTCTGAGGACTGCTACTCTGCCACATGGTAAGCCATTTCCGGACTCGAAACGACTCACTTACGAGATCAATCTGTTGACTTTGATAATGCATAGCTGCTCCCGCTTGTCAGCAGCAGAGAAGGTGAAGAATGCGCAGAACTATGCCATCTTTGCACTCGATTCGATGGCATTCCCTGACGCGGAGGAACAGCCCGCTTGCCCGGCATCGCCTGCCTCCTCTACTTTGGTGCGCCAGAAGCGCCAAGTTCGGTTTGACAACTCGACCACTTCGTCGGCGCCACCTTCTTTATCTCGTACTCCCTTGCCGCCCACCATCATTACTTCAACCAGCAAGCGTAAGCTATTCCTTCGAGGACGACATATTTCCCACTGGTTTCACATTGCTAACCAAAACGGTCTGATTTAGCCCCCTCGAGAGTTGCGACTCCGACACCTTCTCGCAGCACAGATCCCGAAGTCATCACAGTATCAGGCACTGTCGCAGTCGTCATCCCCGCCGGAGCCGTCGCCTTCGGCGGACCTGGTGGTGGTCTTGCCTCGTTCGGAGGCGTCATTGTCCCCGTGCCCGAAGGACAGACCGTCAGCGACCCCTCGAAGGACCCCCAACAATCAGGACCAGATGAGCCCACCAACACCCCTCGCCAAACCCAGTCCCCGACAACGAGCTCAAAGCCCGTCAGCAGTTCTGCGCCCTGTAGTAAGCCTGCAGAGAAGACCTACAAGCCAGCCGTCGAGAACGTCTGCGAGGATTGGTCTGGCATGAACCAGACAGCCTTCAAGCCCCTTATTGCAGGCATTCCTCTCGTAGACTGGGAGGGTGCTCCTGTTGTGTCGACTACGTCTATCTTGGAGACCGTGGAAGTGACCACTATGCTGGTGACAAGCACCGCAGCCCCTGCGCCATCGGCTACACCATCGGCGGAGCCAAAGGTCGACCCTGTCGCTTGCTACAATTTTGACATCAACGCGTACGGATACTGCTGCCCTGGTGAGGGCAACCCTTGCCAGAATGATATTGGAAAGTGTTACTTCAATGGAGAGGGTGTCTCAGGCGGCGCGAGTGGTGTCGTGCCCGATGGTGCGCGATGCCCGCCTCCCCCAGGTGCCGAGTACTGCAGAGGTGCTTGCGAGGAGTAGAATTAAGAGTGTTGAGAGCTTACAGCGGCTTGATTTGGAATTCGAAGATACGAACTCGCACATCGCGAGTGCTCTCAATAGAGATACCCTTGGAATGCTCTTGTAGACGAGCAAAGATTTGAGCTGTAGAGTTAAATATTACTCAGGTAACTTCTATAAATCCACTCTACGGGTGGAAAAAGGAAATTCGGAAAGATCCCACTTGCGATGAAGCCTTCAAGAGCGAACAGCCTGTCCTATCAGTTTGGTATTCAGTGTCACGAAATTTCTACGCATCTGCAACTTCTGACACTGCTTGTTGCCTTTGTCCACGATAGTTGTAGAATTAAATTACTTGATTCGGCTGGATTTGGCCTCCGCTTCGGGGCCTGGACCAGACTCATGAGTAAAAGCTCCTCTATCCATCAATGGGAGGCTAGTTTTAGAGTAATGCCCCTTGCCCCTGCCTTTCGGAGGATTATGGTCCCTAAGTTTATGGTCAGGCCGCCTCCAAAGACGATAGAACTTGCGCTTTAGCCATTTCGTTATCAACGAGAGGCCCATATGGAAACTTGCGTTTTACCACGCATACTCAGCTCTTTGTGGTATTAAAGTGCAGGGAGTTTGAAAGCATCTATTGAGGCGAAGTCGATATTGGTGACACAGAACGATGATTAATCAATCATTCTCGAAGGGCGTTCGGTCAGAATGAATGAAATTGGCATTGATCTATCGTCTAATACGTTGAGGCTTGGCTAGAAAGCAAACAAAATCCAATCTAAGATTATCTTGCCTGGGTCATGACTACTCCATGAAAGGATGAAACACCCATATCTATAGCTTCGCAACACCGAACCCGTTCTGCCTGGCCCGTCCAAGCAGACCTCTTGAGATGTCCTTGAGCTTTGCGGTTCCCATCAGTGCCATAGCTCTTGTCAACTCTCTCTCGAGGATGTTGAGAACTCCCTCGACTCCCTTCTGGCCATCCCAAGCCAATCCCCACAGTGCAGTTCTGCCGATGAGAACCAGATCGGCGCCGAGGGCGAGGGCCTTGAACACATCGGTTCCCCTTGTGATACCGCCGTCGACAATGACTGGGATCCTGCCTCTCACAACGTCCGTGATCTCAGGTAACGCCTCAATTGTCGACGGCACACCGTCAAGTTGGCGCCCACCGTGGTTTGACACAACGATGGCGTCTACGCCAGCCTCTACTGATCTTTGCGCATCTTCCGCAGTCAAAATTCCCTTCAAAATGATCTTCATCTTGGTTTGCGACTTCAGCCAAGGAATAACCTCGTTCCACTCCAAGCTGGCGTCGACGAGATGGTCGTGGTTCTCTTCTTGGATCTTCTTGTGCTCCGCCATCGTCTTAGCGCGCAAGAGCAGACCGGCTGTGGAAATGGCTCCGGACTTGCGCGACTCAACATTGGCCATAGCAATTCCTGGAGGGAGCTCCAGAGGGGTTCTCCGTTCTTGCAGGCGGTTGCCCAAGATAACAGTGTCGACTGTCAGGACCAAGGCCTCGTACCCCGCGTTCTCGGCTCTCTTGATGAGCTTCGCCGTGAGATCTCGGCTGCCGAGGAAGTAGAGCTGGAACCAAGGACGGGGGTAATCTGGGCCGCGCTGAGGGATTGCTGCTGAGACATCCTCGAGAGAAGTCGTGGCGTTGCTTGATAGTGTGAGGTTGGTTCCGAGGTTGAACGCGGCGCGAGCAACGTCGAGCTCGCCCTCCCCGCCGACTAGTTTCTGATAGGCGCTCGGTGCGATCGCGATCGGGATATCGTAACGTTTGCCGAAGATTGTGGTTGAGGTATCAATGTCGCTCACGTTGCGAAGCATTTGAGGTCGGAGGAGGATGCTGCACGACAATCAATGGTCAGAATGCTAATCAGCCACGGAGATTGTGGGGGATGCGCCTCACTCGTTGTAGGCTTCATGATTCCGCGCGAGTGTGTACTCGTCATCGGCGCCGGTCACGTAGTAATCCCATACTGGCTTGGCGAGCTTCTGTTGCGCGATCTTATGGACGTCGGCGATGTTCACCGGCTCCGTGATTGGCTCTTTGATAAGCGTCATCTTGCCTCGATTGCTACGTCTGCCTGGTGTTGCTTGGTAGTAGAGGCCCAGGTTCAGGAGAGAAGCTATCGTCGTCAAAGATCAAGCAATTGGAAACCTTATCAGCGCGAGAGGACGGGACTCGGAGCTTTATTTACTCGACCGAGTGACGGTCCGATCTCGGGCCCACGATGGATCGCGTCACTCGGTGCATGCTCGGTATCCGCCCGGCGGTCTCGTGAACCGCTGCAAGTTACCCAATTCACTCGAGGGCGGATGAACTACCGTCGAACCGTGACCCGTCAGACTGGATCGGTCCCAACCAGAAGGAAGCTTCGTTGCTTCAGCGTTCGTGTTGGAGCTTTATTTAACGTCATACTTCCAAAGCATTGGTGAAATAACCCTTGCCTGACATGGAGCTTTCCCTGCTAGAGCATTAGCTGCTTGTGGGGTCATGGCTCTCGTCGGGATTTTTTGCCTCTCTCAGAATCTGGAGCTGTGAGTTCTGGGGAATGACTAAGGTGACCCCCAACAATCCACAGATACTCCAGAGCTCCGGGTCATGTCCCCAACATCTCAAGCTCAGGACAGAGGGGCACGTGGGGGGCAGGTAGAGGTCGTTTTCCAGGAAGAAATCGAAGTCTCGAGTTATTTCATCATTCGAAGCTTGACTGAGGCTCTGCGTGACAGCGCGGGTAACCTGCCTTGGACACACTCATCTGGACTGTGGGGTAGCAGTGCTGCTCAGGTCACAACGGCGACTGCACCGCCATGCCCTCAACATTGATCTGTACTGCGTTGCTAGGCAGGGTGGAAACGGAGCTGCTGCTTAATGATTTCATGACGTTGTGGGAGATTACATGAAGTGCAAACTAGTCACCGAAGTCGGTTTCTAGAATCGTCAATTGAACTGCGCAGGCTGCCTTCGGGTGCTAGGTATTCCGGATGCCTGCACTTCGAAAAGTAAGACCAATGAGCCGAGATAAGTTTCCTCCGTATTGATGTCAGAAAGTCAAGGACTGACAAATGGCCGCACAATCGCACAGGACATCTGAACAATTCAATTTGTCTCGGTGAGTCACGGTGAGATTGAAGATCACAGGCTCTACGCCGAGGTGTCGTGTTACGACGTCTTCGCTGACCTACATCCATGCATCACTGAGTCTGCCTATCGAATGCCCAATGATCTTCAAGTCTAGTACATCCAGGCATCGGATTTCAAAGCATCTAACCTCGAGTAGTATGGGTTTCTCAAACGGTCGCACGAAAGTATTCGGGACAAGTATGTTGTGCAAGCCTCAACTTCAAGCTTTGTCAATTGTCACAATACACGAGAAAGCTCTCAACTCCTCCGTGTCGGACAAGCTGCCTGTTGTAAGCTGGCGCGCGGGACTAGGCTCTCGTCGCGTGGTAAGCGGCCTGAGTCGCGACTTTTCCAGAACCGAAAAAGCGCTAAACTCCAGAGAGTCGTCCTTGTCGTCATGGAACACAGTGGAGAAGCATTTGTCAGCTTGAACTGTATTAGCAATCCGCTTCACATTCCACCTACACGAATAACTACAGCATCTTGCAACATATATATGTGCAATTGCAACATCCCGCGTTATCTTAGCTTTGATCGTATACACTTGACATCATAGTCCCAATAGTTTCCATCTAAAACCATTGTTTACCCTACTCCTATCTCATCCCATCCCATCACAATGGCTGCAGCACGTCCCACTGGTCTCATCGCCAAGAAGGGCATTGAGCTCTTGACATTCGGTAAGCTATTTAAGTTAATGAACTTTGAGTTATGAACTCTTGCTAAACGACTGTATTCAGGCACACCGAATGGCTACAAGGCTAGCATCATCCTGGAGGAACTGAAGGAGGCTTACGGGCTCCCTTTCGTGGTCCAAAGCATCAATATCATGCAAAACATCCAGAAGGAGCCATGGTTCACGTCACTCAACCCCAACGGCCGCATCCCTGTCATCGTTGACCATGACAACGAGCAGCTTGCTGTCTTTGAGGGCAGCGCCATTCTCAGCTATCTGACGCGCAAGTACGACACTGAGCACAAGTTCTCATTCGCCCTCTCAGACAATGACTACACCCGAGCCGAGTCTTGGATTGGCTGGCAACACGGTGGACTGGGACCCATGTGAGTGTAACCGTCTCATGACGTTGAGGGGAGAGACTAATGCTTCCACCAGGCAAGGTCAAGCGAACCACTTTGTGAGGTTTTCCAAGGAGAGAATCCCCTACCCCACCCAGCGCTACGTCGGTGAGACGGAGAGACTGTTTGGCGTGCTGAACACGCACCTCGATAAGCGGGACTTTGTCGTCGGTCCGGATCGCGGACGCTACAGCATCGCTGATATCTCAATGATTGGGTGGGTGCAAGGCGCTCCCATGGCAGGCGTGGATATCTACCAGTTCCCAAACGTCAAGGCTTGGTTGGACAGATGCTATGAGAGACCTGCTGTTCAGCGAGGTATCCAGATCCCCAGCTCTCCGTACATGTCCGTGGCTAGCATGGAGCAGAGACTGAAGGAAGAAAAGGACCTTGTTGAGAGTGAAGCTGAGGTCAAGAAGCAAGTTGATGATGCGAAGAAGGCTTACGGTTACGTCTACTCATCACCTTAGATTATGGGTGGAAAACATAAGTCGCCTTCGGCCTTTGTATGGTAGTGTTGAACAGAGCTTTTGTGACAGGAGAGAAATTGTAAAGCGAACTTCACTTTGAATGGAGATAAAGTGCAACGCCCTAGATGTTCAACCCGTCTATTCTAATCCTTGCAAAAGAAACTACCGATGTCCTCAATATAAGTGCCCTGCCCCATTCTATTCCTCAAGTGTTGAAAAGACCTTTGTCGAAAATCAAATTGAAGTCAAAGCCTCGATGAAATAAGCCTCCTTAGGAGTCTATTCCTCCTCAACCCGAACGGAGAGATCAATCTCCTCCTTGCGTCGACGAACCGAGACCTTGACATCAGAGTCCGATTCGCGCGTGAACCCAAACTCTGCAAACTTCGGCTTCTGGCCCTCGACGAATTTAATGTCGTACTTCAGAAGCATATGAGCAAGCAGCACCTTGGCCTCATTTCCCGCGAAGAAGCGGCCCGGGCAGGAATGCATGCCGTGACCGAAACCCATGTGGTTCACGCTGGTGCTGACAAACTGGCTGACCGCGTCATTGGGCCCCCCGCGCTCGCGGTAGAATCGATAGCCGTCGAAGACGTGGGAGTTCTCGTAGATTTTGTCATCCCACATGCGCTCGGCTGAGACGACGGTCGCGCTGCCGCGGCTGATGAGGGTTCCGTCGGAGAGCTGGACGTCTGCTGTGGCGCGACGGGCCATTCCCACTTATGACATATGTGAGCAACGGTTCACTCATGTTGGGTCTGCAAGTCGTGCAGGTGGAATATCGAAAGAACTTACCGATCTGATTAGGCTTCAGTCGCTGACTCTCCTTGAGAACACTGTCCATGAGCTTCATGTTGTAGAGCGACGTCTTCTTCCACCCTCCTTCGCCAATAACTTGAATGGCTTCTTCTCGGAGAGGTTGGATAAGCTCAGGGTGCTGAAGAATATCGTAGAGCGTCTGGGTAACTAGGTCCGCCGTGGTATGAATTGCCACGCCAGCCAGGATCAACTGCGCGACCGCTGGATTAAACTTTTGCCCCTTCGCCATCTCCTTGAACCACTCGATGGCATCGTTGTACTCCTCGACGGAATCGCCTTCCTGTTGACGGTGCTTGATCTCCGCAAAGACTTGAGTTTCGGCGTCTCTGATGTACGCGCGCAGCTTCGTGGGTCCGGGGAGGAAGTACACCACGATGCCTCGAAGGAACTTGGGCCAGAAGCGAAGGTTCTGCATCGCGTGAACGCTGAGCTCAACATAGCCTACGATGGTGCTCAGCCATTTCTCGTTGCGTCCTAGCCGTTTCCCGACAAAGATCCGGGATGACATCCGGGACACAATCTTGAGGATTTCATGTTTGGCCACCGTGTCATGCCATTCTGCACCATTCATCAGCCCTGAGTTAAAGTCCAAGATGTTGACGTTGTGGGATTAAGTTTACCAGTCGAGTCACCTAGCGTGTCCTGTAGGCTTTCTTCAACTTCCTGCGAAAGAATACCCGAAATCTTGCCTGGAAAAGATTGTTCAAGGTTAGCATTAATCAAGGCGCATAGGTGGCTACAAGATCGCTGCTAGACGTACCAAGGGTCTTGGTCAGCCTCAGCTTGACCACATTCTGAATACGTTCGGAAGGGTGGCAAGCTTCCTTGTAAGCCTCGAAGCCTGCGTATTGTCCTTGGAAGTCCTTCGTCATGCATGTTAGTAAAGTCTTGCTCGTCGAGCAGTCGAGTCCCCTGTTATTCCCCCGTGGAAGACGCACCTCAAATAGGCCTTGAACGAAGCTAAAGCGCTTGTCGTTCCGAATCTCCTGGCCAACATCAGGTGGCAGAATGATGACATCTCCAACATCACACAGCACACGGAAAGGCTTGCCGAGAAAGTCCTTTGCAGATGAATACAGCATTCGGTAGGAATTGAATACGAACTCCCGAACAACCCTGTCCGAGGACCACTCGAACCGTCCTTTGGGATTGAGATACGGGAGCTTGGTGCCATGGTCTCTCATCCAGAACAGGACGAGAATGGCAACTGGTACACATGTTCCGAGCACATAGTACCAAGGGGTTTGGCCGACTTCTTGGCGGTCCGTGGCCGCGTTGATGAGCGATTCGTTGGAAAAGGCAATAGTCTCCATAATGGTCGTGTAAGAATTGATTTATTGTCTGGCGCTTGATTGGTGCATTGGTGTGCAGACAGATCTGAGAGCTTCAATCCCAATGTGGCTCGACGACATATACCCATCATCATGACGGACTCTCGGACTGACGACAATTCGGTGGGACGCACCAGCCATCCGGACGTTGAACCTCCGCGAGTCCGCGATCCGTAGTTTTCGGACGAATACATGTTCAAGCCGGCCCGCGTCCGCACCGACTGAACACAATCCGAACGGCATCCTCCCAGTTCAAACCAATCAAAAGGCCTTTTGACGGGCGTTCGGACAAATGTTGGTCGGAGGACGGTGCTCATCCCACCGGTCTCGATGTCGCAAGTCAGTTTGTCTCCAGTCTCAACTGCCAGCCAAGACGCGGCTCGTACCGAACGTGAAGCCTAGCGCCAATCAATCTCTCTGCTTACCCAATACTCTTGGGGTTCATCTCCATCTGCCGGTGGGATGAATAAACCACGTTCAGGAAAGTTACGTCACGACTCAATGATCGACTCAAATTAAAATGTCGTCAGGAAGTCTAATCTCGTCGTTTCAAATTACAATTACCTACGGCCACTACCGATCTTGGCTTAATTGCACATACTTTGTTTAAATGTTGTGGAAGTAGGTAAGAGACGGTTCCGAATTAGTAGAGGAATTCTAGCTATCTTCGATGGAGTCGGTATGTCGGTGTACTCCGCCAGCACTTGCCCGGGTCCGAAAGTTTCATCTAATTCTCCTCAATGTTACCCTTCAGGCAGTGTCCATCTTTTCTGGTTGCAGGCAGGTTCTCAAGCAAAGAGCCAGCAGCGTTGTTACAAGCAAGTTAGGGTGACATGATTTCCGATCACGAAGCGAGAGAAAGAGGTGCCAAAAAAGATGCAAAAAAGGGCCCAGCAAGGAGTCGAACTCAAGGGGTCGAGGTCCGTCTCAACAGAGACATGTGGAAATCCCACGACACCAGCTGAGTGTTCCACTGGGCCAAGGCGCCCAAGCAGGCGCCTTCTACTGTGTGTGACTGGGGAGGGTGAGTTGACTGTATAGGCTTTGGCTGTTGGGCAATGAGAGTGGGCAACCCGGATGGGACGAGGCTATGATAGAGTGTGAGGCAAGGGTGGGCGCTAGGTGATCGTGGGCCATCATGTCCGCCGTAGGTGTCCAAGTGATCCATCCAGGTCCCGGTACGAAGCGAGTGCTACATGCACAGGTCCGGCTGGGCTGGCTGTACGACGTTGGGGGCTGATCCTCGAACGTAGTCCGATCAAGGTCAAAGGAGGCTTCAGGGAGCACGCTGATTTCCAGCAGGGAAAATGTTCACGGGATGATATTCCCGCTGCGTTGAGAAGGGGGCATCGACGATGAAGATGCGTATGTATCAACCCCGACATCGGTTGCTGCTAGCTGAAGGGACCTAGAGCCCAATTGGTTGGGTCGGATGGAAATTTACATTTCCTTTCAATTGAAGAGATCCCTCCACATTTCCTTGAAGCCATAGTGAGGAGCCCTGGAATCGTATATCTTAGCCGATGTTCCCTCCTTACTAAAGCGGTCAAAAACGGTGACTTGACCGCCCCCTGCTGCATCAAATAATGTCTTCGTCGGCCTGGTGGCTCTCTCACGGATAGTTTCTGCCACAAGGGGCGCGACATCGGCGTAACAAGCCTTTAGCTCGCGCTCAAGCGAGAAGTACGGCTTCTTCGCCAATTCCGGCGCCATCAGGTTGTAGGAGCGCGTGATCGCATTAAGGTCGTTGACGGCGAGGTTCATGTACGAGCTCTCAGTTGCAAGCCAGTCAGAGTCGCGGAAGGGCTGTACCAGTGGCCGAGCAGGCTTCGTCGGCGCTGCCTCTGGTCCGGCTTCGCTAGTGCTGTTGCCCTCGACCGCCTGTTGACGCACTTTCGCCATGACAGGATCATCGGTCACATTGGTGGGAACCGAAATACTGTCGCTGTTTCTCTTGCGCGGATTATGGCGTTCCTCTGCACGGGCATAGTCCTCGGCCAGTTGCATCTTCTCCTCCAAGCTCCCACCTTTTGACGAAATCATCCTGGCGACGTGCCTCCTCCAATCGTTGCGTAATCTTGCCCTGAAGATGCCAGCGGTTTTGGCCAACTCTTGTTGCTTCTCTATCCATGGTGGCACAATCTCCTGCCTCTTGATCATCTTGTTCATTATGTATTCGGTGGTATCGATGAAAGGGTTATCGGCTCTTGCGTCTCTTTCTACCCCCTTGCCGCGAGGGATGTTCTTGAACTGCCCACGAGCAATGGCGTCTTCTATCCTCTCATTGGCCAGCGACTCTAGACCTGATATAGTGTTCGGCACAGCTCGAGCTGCTGCTCCAAATCGGTCCCGAAGCTCTTTCCTAAACTCTTCGCGTTCCTTGGCGCTTTGCCCGCTCTCCTCCTTGAATCCTAGTGCAGTATATGTCGAGGCCTTCTCGCGAGCATTCGCAACCCGCTGGCTAGGGTTCGTCTTTGACTCTTTCCGCATCCGCATATCGACGGGCGGGATCTGAAATTGTCCCCTAAGCTCGGGCTTTAGGGGCTTCTTCGCATCGTTGAGCATTCGCAGAACCGTATCAGACTGCGACTCGTCTCCCGTCCAAGCCTGCGCCGCAGCTATTGAACGTGTTCCCTCGCCTGCTGAGGTGGGCATTTGAGCTTCTGCGAAAGCAGATGCGTATTGGGATCGGAATTTGGCGGTCTCGACCTTGTCGAGAAGCCGCTGCTTCAGCTCTTCAGAAAACCCGGCATCCTCGATAGCTTGACGCCCGCGCCGGCCACCAGTCAAAAGAGCTTCCTCTGTAGCTTCCTCGAGCTTTCGCGCCATGGCTCCCTTTTCTTTTTCGAGCCCATTGTTACTGCGATCGGGTGTCGGAGCTTCGGAAGCTTCGGGGGATCGGTCGGACGTGTAAGGTCGACATCTCGCTGCGAGTGGTTCGGTGCGCCAACGTGATGATAGACGGCGTCCCCAGGCCAGCGGTGTTTGTGAGAGCCTAGTCGCCATATTCAAGATCCCAATCCTCGGTGGACGTCGGGGGACAGAACATGGTTGAGAGGGTCGAGCTACGGCCGCGGGGTTGTTAAGAATTAGCCTTGCTTTCGTGATGTCAACGAAAGGAAGAAAGTGGCGATTGACGGAGTTAAGCACGGGCCAGCGTTCTACCAGCCGAGGTATCCACCTTTCCACGGAGCGCGATCGGGATGGGCCCATATTTTGTTCGGTAAGACGGTGCTGCCAAAGCCGGCATATTTCGGCGATCCAATGCATCTTCGCCATCACGGTGATCAGCATCCAATTGTAAATACCTTGCCTTGAAGTTGGTGAAAAGCAGATCTGCCGCTCAAAGAACAGTTTTGCCGCTACTTCTATTGCGATTACTATCATCAACATGACTTGCCCTGAACTTGTAAGTTGACTAGCAATCTACTATACTACGTTTCCCATTTGCTAGTACAATACGTCATCCAGGACCCTGAAGCAAGACTTGATGAGATTACTGCGCACCACAGTGATCTCTAAGCCACACATGATATCTCAAACACTCAGACTAAGAGTGAGATAGTTTCATCCATTGCCCGAGGAGAATCGATAAATGCTCACTTGACTTTTTTTCCATCGCAATCCTCCATCCCTTATTACTTTCCAAAGATCTGGTGGCCTAATACTCAAACGGTAAAGTCTACCAACACCTTATCCATCTCAGCGTTAAAGCTTTCATAATAATTCTGTCTCTTGTTCTCAAACGCATCAAACATGGGCTTCGCGGTTCCCACCGGGATCTGTTCCTCTCCATTGACCCATCTCTGGTAGACTTCATCGGCAAATTCGTCTACCGGCATGCCAATAGCATGGCCGTTCTTCAAATCCGGCTGGTTCTTGGCATCGTGCAGTTCCGTCTGCACTGCAGGCGGGTAAACTTCGACAATTTTGACCTTTGAAGACGCATCCTTGAGCTGGGATCTGAGGGCGAGGATGAAGCCGTGCATGGCAGCCTTGGAGCCGCTGTAGTTGGGGCACCGCTTCATTGGGATGAGGCCGAGCTGAGAAGTTGTGTAAAGCAAGGCGGTCTGCTTGTCTTTCTTTGAGAGATGGGGGAGGAAGGCCTTGGTCAGGTGGACGTGGGAGAGGTAATTTGCGAGAAGCTCATCGTAAACGATGTCCAAACTGACGTTTTCAGGCTTGGTGAAATCGATACCTCGCTGAACTCCGGCGTTCAGGAATACGCAATCGAGATCAGGGTGCTCGTTGATTATAGACGCAGCAAAATCTGGGATCTTTGGACATGCCGTTAGTCTTATCCTTTACAAGACCGTCATGAACGGCAAGAGCCTCAACATACCGACTCCAATTTGAGGATATCCACAACGGCTGCTGCAGCTTTGCTCGCACCGTGCTTCGCAACGAACTTGTCGAGATTCTCCTTTCTTCTACCGGCAGCGATGACGAAAGTACCATTCTCGACAAGTTTGTCCGCTAGAGCTGCACCAATTCCCGAGGTCGCTCCGACTAACAGGACTTTTTGGTAAGGCAGAGACATGATGATTGCAGATGAGCTGGCTAAAACCAATTGTATATGTGAGATGTGATGTAATAGAAGAAAGCGATAGCCAACGTAAATGTTTAGTATTGCTCAGATTTGGCTTGGAATCACAAAACAATCGGGGTTTATATTCGCATGCATCCAGGTTGGCTAGCAGCTAGGAATCTCTAGACTCTAGTGAGCCCATGACATTTGTAAGCCTCTACTGGATTTATCAGCGTAAAACCTGTACAGAATCTGAACACTCGACTAAACTCTAGCTTAGAATATTCTGGGCTGATCGTGGAGATGGATCGGTCCGCTTGTCGTGTACGGACTGTTCCGGTTCGCCTCCTGGTCCAACATATAGCCAATTGGGGGCCCACGTCGATTCAGCTCGGATTACCCCCACACCACGCTATAAATTTGAGTAGAGAGCCAACAACCACGGGTCTCACTACAACAAAAGCAATACGTCATCTCGTCATTCTTTTTCCTACTGTGACAAATGTAGCAAGTCAGTCCATGGTGCGCTTCTAATTGACTTAGGCATGCGTATCTTCCTATGCCGTTCAAGTTTAGGCTCGACCTACTCAATGCCGGCGTCACTGTCCACCTTCAGTCTTCGAATACTACTACATTAACAACAAACTTGAGCAGCGGCATGCGTGATTTCTTTAGGGTCTAGTATACTTGAAGGTATTTTGGTCTTTAAAGTGCCAGGTTTGAGTAAACTACTGAACTTCAAAGATTTGGCAACGCCCCGTCACACCTATGCTCGCACTCTCATACACAAATTGGCGGGGACAACTTCTGGCCGTCAACTTGGCCAATGCCAATAGTTGTGCTCAATGGTTCACTCGCGTAACAGTAAGCTAACTCTCATCGTTGTGTTGAGTAAATGCTGGACTACTTTATTCACTCCCAAGAATACTATCTAAATGTAACTTCTAAGTTTACTAAGCCAGCGCTTGATTCCATGCAAGCTGAAGTCATACCTCGGAGCTCTTTTGTGTTGTTCAGATGCTGATGTGATTTCTATGCGTGAATTCAACCCCCTCAAACAGCATGCTCGTCAAATTATCCTCTATAAATCCTTAGAACTCATAATTTATTCTTAATTGAGATATACAAGACTTCCGCTGTTGCAAGCACTTCACCATTCTCATTCTCCATTTGCGCCGCAACAAAATGCTTCCGGCCCTCAACCCTGGCTATCCTCGATCTCACTAGCACCGTTCCCGGCGCAGGAACAGGCTTTCGAAATGACGTGTTCAAGTAACCAGTTCTGAAGTCTTTGTTGGGCTCTGTTCCTGCCGGCCTCTGGGCTACAATGTGAATGCCCGTAACTTCATCCATCACCAAGGCAACAACGCCTCCGTGAGCCGTCTCGGGAAATCCAATCATGCCATGGTCAAAGGTGATGAGAGAACACAACTCATCGACCTTCCAATCGGGGCCTTGCGGCTTGGGGTGTATGATCAACCAGGCTTTGATTGTGTCTGGTGTGTTGAGAGTTCCGCCGACGTATGTGTTCTCTCTTGTAGGGAGGACAGTTCTGTTTTGAGAGACTTGCACCACGTGGGACGAAGTGTCACATTGGCTGAGGATTTTGGCACACCATGGGATGGATGCAAAGTGCTTGTAATCAGGGTGTGACTTGACGTGGGTGTCAGCCATGGTGGGCGAGTTAATAGATGGGTCAAAAAGCTGACCTCAAGACGTTGACGATAAGATTGCAAGTGACAAGTGAGTGTGAGGGGTCCGGCCCCAAGACCTCGGGTTCGGACTGTCGCGGTGGGTCTCCTGAGACACCCGAGGTTGTGTAACTTGGAGGGGAAACTAGCGCAGGGGTTGGAGGACCCTATCGCGTCCTTGCAGTTAAGCTGAATGCACGTCGAGGCTTATCTAGAACTAGCTAGCACTTGAGGCGTACAACCTTGAGCATTTTTTTCTGCACTCTATCAACGGGCACTTGTCGATGTATCGGACGACACGTGGACGTCTCGGTTCTAGTCTCATTCTCGAACTCTTTGTATCATGGTCCGAGTAGCGGCTTAAGCACCCATGACTCGCAGCCCATCAATGCCACTCTAACACGTAATGAACCTTCACGGATCACGGAAGCAGACATAAAGCATATGCACAAGTTCCTATCCTATACAATCACATCAGTCATACATATCATGCAGTGAAGACGGTTTAGGCGACAGAAACTGTGTTTTAAGCTTGTCATGATCTGATTTCCAAGCCATCGAAAGCTTCTTAGAGTTTCGCGCCTCGATCAGAAGCTCGTTTGTGCTCCTCGCGCCACGCCAGGTCACTCAGAATCTCCTCACTCCCACCGCCAATGACTTTCAGACGGAGGTCCCGAGAGATCTGCTCCGTCATGGTCACCCCCTTTTCATAGCCCATCCCGCCATGAATCTGCTGGCTCTCTCTGACGGCTTGCTCTACAATCCTGCCGCCTTGGATCTTTGCCAACGCAATTCTGCTTGCAACGTCCTTGGTCTGCCAGCCGTGGATGTGGACGTGGTAGGCAATTTGCTCCAGCCACGCCCAGTGACCCTCGACCTCGCGAGCAAGCGTCGTCAGCTTATGCCGGATGATCTGGTTCGAGGCGAGAGGTCTTCCAAACGTCTCTCGATCATGTGCGTGCTGCAGCGCTTCCGAAAGACATATTCGGGCTTGTCTGTTGCAGTCCACTGTGAGGATGAAGCGCTCCTTATTGAAGTTCCGCATGATGATAGGGAACGCCTCGTTCTCTTTGCCCAACAAGTGGTCAGCTGGCACCTTTACGTCTTCCAACACAACCCATGAGGAACCACCGGCGTTGTGCCCGGAATTGTGGATCTTCCTGATCGTGACACCGGCAGAGTTTAAAGGCACGACCAGCAGCGAGATACCACTCCGCCCTGGCTCGCCCATTCGGACGGCGGTGGTCATGTGCGTTGCCCAGGGTGCTCCTGTAACCCATTTCTTGCGGCCGTTGACGACATAGTGCCTGCCATCGGGAGTCTTCTCCGCAGTAGCCCGAATAGCGCTCACATCACTGCCAGCAGTCGGCTCCGTGATGGCGAGACAGAAGCTAGTCTCCCAGGTAAAGAGCCCAGGAAGCCATCGTCTCTTCTGCTCCTCAGTTCCGGCAGCAAAGATGGGCGGCGCACCCACATTAGATGCCCCCGCCAGAGCGAGGGGGACCCCACTGGGGATGCGGGCCATCTCGTCCATGAGAATCAGCTCGTGAAAGACATCCAGCTTGTCGAACGGGGTACCCGCAATAGTCATGAGCTCCTTGGGTCGGTACTCTTTTGGAACATCGAGGAAAGCAAGACCGGACTTGGCAAACTTCAACCTCGCAGATAGAGGGGCTTCCCCAGCTGCCTCCCATTCCTGCGCGTAGGCAAGCAAGTGAGTGTCGACAAAGGCTCGTACGTACGTCTGGAACCGCCGGTGAGAGTCATTGTAGTAGGGACTCTCCAAAGCATGGAACCACGCCGGTTCGCCCCACCTGAAGCCCGTGTTAGATGACAAGTTGAACGGAGGAGGAAAAAGGAGGGATCGGGGTAGTACGGAGCGAGGACGCCTGTCGCCTTGTATTCCTTGCCGGGGCCGGCCTGCCTTGATCCTTTGGCGGTCATTTCGGGTATGCTGCGATTTCGTTGCCAATTCTGTTACACATTCGATGTGGGGAGTCGTTGACGATGAATGGAGATCCGTGTACGAGAGGCATGAGTCTCGTAATCGAACTGGAGCTGGTCCTTGAGAACACTCGGGAACGCTTTTTGATGAAATAGCAGGCGATAGACATCGCGCGGGGAAGAGGAAGTTGTAACCAAAGCATGTCACGCTATTAACCTTGCATCTGCAGGGAAGCACTTTCAAGTGAAGTTTGTATCAGACGTGACTAGTTCAATGCGATGCGATCAAGTTGGCGCGAGTCAAGAGAGCAACAACCAACGGCGATTGCTCAATCTGGCCGGTTCCGCCTGGTCTCCGCTTTAGCTCAAGAGGTGTTGGTCAGTTCGTCCGGGGGAGAAAACAAGGGGTATCGGTCTTGGCCTCCGAGAGACAACCCACGGGGTCCTGACAATAGTCCGAGGACCTGGATCCGGCTCCGTACCAGGCGTCTATCAGCCCCAATCAAGAGAGCTTGCCTAACGTGATTTACGACCAGTGCATCGTAGCGAGAACGAAAGCTTGTTTCATTGACAATCCCAGTTATTCGGTTGTGGAGTGCCAGCGACTCGTCTAATTCGTGGTCTTTCAAATCCCCTCACGCGGCAGGGGGGAACCTACAACTTCTTTTAGACTTTCGTGCAACAATGTCAAGTACTCTTTACACGACTTCTCACGTCGAACGATTGTAGTAGAATGCTAAACATATAACTAAACAGTGGTCGACCGAAGATCCTGTACTTCGACAATCTTTCCACTTCTCGGGTTAACAGCGAGTTCCTGCATGGTAACAAACTTAATCCTCAACGGGTTGATTAGGTCCTTCTCGACGTGTTCCCGAAACATAGGGCGCACCACGCCTAGCTCTTCTCTCAGCTCCGCATGCAGTTGCGAACTCTCCTCATCTGTAGCCGGTGTAAATGCGACATTCAGAGTCAAGAGGTCCTTTCTGTCTTTTCGTGTAACAATGGCTTGCAAGCGCCCGACCGGCCGGTCTTTAAGAATCGTAGACACTATCCGTCGAAGGTCCACAAAGTCAACGGAAACGGGGCCGAGGCGTATGGCCGTGCGGTCCCTGTCAAGGACACGGAAAAGGCTCAGAGCTGGGTCAACCCACGCGGCCCGGTCTCCAGACGGGTAGCGAACAATGGGCATGAGCTGCCGCTCCAGGTTCGTCACAACCAAGCTGCCCGCTTCTCCTGGGGTCGTAGTAACCTCGCCGTCTTCAGTGATGATCTCCACGATAATGTTTGGGTCGTTGACTTGGTGAAGCCGGGGGTCGTTTGTGTAGTGCTCTTGCTTTGGTGGTAAGCCGATGATTCCGCAGTCCATAGATCCGTAGACGACTGATCTTATGGTTGCATTCGGGAAGGCAGCTTTCAGCAGCCCGGCCTGATCCTCGTAGAACGCTTCCCCTGAGAAAAGCAACAGGCGGACATATGGGTGGCTCTTGCCAATGCTGAGGATGCGTTCTGAGAGTTGAGACATAGTGGTCACAGTGGCGAGGACGACGGTTGCCTCGAACTCGACGATCTGTCTTTCCATAGACTCCAAAGAAACGTGTCCAGCTACAGGAAGCTGGATTGCACCGCTCGGAAGATGATAGACTGAGAGGATGTGCAATAAGAAGCTCCCGTAGAGGTCGCCGGCGTAGAACAAATTGGCAACCATGTCTCCCACGCCGACTCCGCAGCGTCCCAAGCTCTCTGCTAGCTGTGTCGAAAGTCCATGAAGTTCCTTCTGGTTGTAGAACGACACTTTGGGGTGTGTGGTTGTTCCTGGATGGAGCAATGTTAGTATGCCTGTATTACAACTTGCTTGAACCGTCATGAAGCCTGGAAGGCAGCCTATGAAAAGTGGTATGAGAAGTGCGCACAACTTGCCTCCAGTTTTGAAAACAATGCCATCTTTCTGCTTTGATGTCACAACCTGACTGTTCCGACATGTGTTTGATGCCCAGAAAGACTCATGGTCCACGACGGGCAAATCCCATAAAGACACCGTCGCATCTTCAAGAGTCTTACACGACTTCCAGGACTGGGCGTAATAAGGAGAATTCAATTTGACAAATCTGATGAAGTCTGTGAGACTTCTGGCCTTGGTCCTGCTGTCCTTGGAAACCGTCATGTTGTTGGTGCAGTCAGTGCATCTAAAATTCGGGCCCCGAGTTCAGCTCCAACTCAGGGCTTCGAATAAGTACCCAAAGATAAAGTATGGCCTTCGGTTATGCCACATCAATGATCGAGTTGCCCCTCATAACCGCAACATAGATACGAATCTCACCGGCAAACGGGTAACGGCACGCGCAAGCTGTCGGACTTGGCTACTTCCTAGATCCTCGCCGTTGGACCTCCCTCTTGCGCATCTCACAAGGGTTCTGCATTGTATGCGTACAGCGATCTAAGTTTTGACTCGCAGGGAGTTGCGACGGCTCTGATTGAGGCAAGAGTTGCCATACTGACAATTGTGAATAGGTATCCGTACTTGCGCCAAACACAAGACACACTGAGGGAAAGGGTTGCCCCGGATCCCGATCCTCGTAAGCTCTGCTCATTTCTAGAATCCACAACGAAGCCAATTAAGCTTTTGACTGCTTCCGTCCAACGGTGCAAAGTCTCGCAATCTGGACAGGACGTGCGCCGAGGCTCCCGCTAACCCTAACCTTGCGCTCAGGCCCGGCCTCGTCAGATTGACAAAGATAGCAGATGGTGGCTGGCAATGCGAGAAGAGAGATCATAGACGGCTCAGCCACGGAGCCGGTCGAACTCGTTTGGGAAGCTCGAAAGGGGGCGCATTGGCACATGTCAAAGGTCAAAGAGAAATGAATGACTTGTGCGTCCCTTTCTCCCGCAATCCTCCCCCCCTCTTTCCGTAAAGCCCCGAGTGGGACGCGACGTTACCGCACGGTCCCATGTTTTGAACAGCTTGGGGGCGGTCTCTGAATCTGGGCAATGAGGGGAGAGGGATTGGAGAAGATGGAGAGGTTCCTGAAGCCAAAGACCCCCACCGTTCGGCCAATGGAGT